CCCAGGTATTCAAAAGTTGGTCCCACGGTATGACCAATGTCTCAATTCTGGTGGCGAATATGTTGAAAAATAGCTGGACACTTGCTGTATCTGTTGCAATAAATATTTCCATGAAATTGTGTTTTGTTTCTGTAAACGGCCCCAGGGAAACTTACTTTGTGGACGAGCCTCGTATAAGAAAAGGGTGTATATTCTGTGTGGCCCATTGGATAAAGTTAGTCCTTTTCATGTGGTCTAGTGAGACTGACCCTACCATCTTCAGGCTAAAGGAAAGGGTCTTCCACACTACCTGGTGACTGAAGAATGGCTGCCACTTCACGATGGCCTTCATCAATTCTTTCCCGTGCTTTGTCTAACGGAGTCTTCCCATCTTCATCTCGCAAATCTGGATTTGCCCCATGACGAAGAAGCACCTTTGCAATTGCTGGCCGACCAAAACAAGCTGCATAGTGAAGGGATGATGAACGCTGTCCTATGGTGAACAAATTAAAAAATCCACTATTCATATATTTATGTATCATTCATATATATGCCAGATATATACAACAGGTGTTGTATGAATTACATACCTACAACATTTGGTAAACCATGGAAAATGACTGTAATTTCTAAAAGTAACTTCTAATCTTACCTTCAGTTAATTAATTATTTAGGTTTTGGAAAGATACTCTGACAAAACAAATAACGATTACTATACATACACCTATAACTAACCTCCAGCATAAAACTGCACCATGTGATTTGTGGGACGCAAGAGATTTTTTGTATTAAATACTCTGACACAATGGTTGTCACTGTTTACACTGCAATCTCCCTTTAACACTTTAAACAAACTGTGGATTGATGGATCCGATTCTACCTAACTTTTCATTTAAAATATTTAAGGTTGTTTGAATCACAGACATTATTTACTCAACTCTGTACTGTTTAAGCTGCAGCCTCCCTTTCAATTTCCCTCATCATCCAATTAAGCACTGAATGTCTCAATGTGAAGATTGAATTGTGATACTGCGGCAATACCAGAAGAAGTGTGAAAAATCTGAATACATTCTACAATTTTTGTTTATGACATCACTTAAAAATTATGCTACAGACCTGGTGGTCCAGATAACAAAAACAATGCAGCAGCTGGTGAGTCTTACCTAGTATTTGTTCACAGGTGGCAAGTTCACCTATTGTTTTTTCAAGACAAGACATGAAAATAGTCAGTAAACTGACTAGTTATTAGCTGGACAACTGTGGTTCTATTTCTGGCAGGGAGTGGAACACCTCTCTATGGCACCATATCAAAACTAACTATGAGGTCAATCCAGCCAACTATCCTGAGTACTAGACTCATTCATCTGGGATAATGCAGCCAGAGCATGAAGTTATCTAAGGTTTAGAATATTGGATGTTCATCATAATGCCCTCTATATACATTCATGACTTAGTGTTTACATACAGAGAGTACTTTACCTTGAAATGAGAAATATAAATTTGGTGATGAGTATTATATTAAATTACTATACTACACTACTAGCTAACTCACCTGATGGAGCACAGTCATCTCTGAGAAGGAAACAGTCACTCAGCTAGTCAATGAATTCCCAGACTTATGGAACCTTGAGGTTCATTATCATGTTCAAAAAAAAAACCCACTAAATCCTATAAGGAGTCAGGTGACTCCAGTCCACTACCTTACACACAATTTCTTTAAAGATTCTTCCATATATGCCTAGATCTCCAAAGTGTTCTCTTCCTTTCAGGTTGTCTGACTAAAATTTTGTATGCATTTATTGTGCCCTGTCCATCTTATTCTCCTGCTCTATACATACTCAATATTTGCTATTCCTTCAAGGTGAGAGACCCTTACCTTTTTTCAGACAGGAGACACAAACAAAAATCAAAACCAAATGGCAACTATACACAATTGCCTAAACCAAGTCAATGACACTGTAACAACTATATCACATGAAGATATCCGTCTTCTGGGTTGTTGCGCTGTGTAGTCTGGTCGATGTTAACCAACGTTTCAGAGGTCATACTGTCTCCGTCATCAGGGCGATGAGTATGAAGATATCCGTCTTCTGGGTTGTTGCGCTGTGTAGTCTGGTCGATGTTAACCAACGTTTCAGAGGTCATACTGTCTCCGTCATCAGGGCGATGAGTATGAAGATATCCGTCTTCTGGGTTGTTGCGCTGTGTAGTCTGG